GGTTAGGGTTAGGTTAGCCGGGTTAGGGTTAGGTTAGCCGGGTTAGGTCTCTCTGTGTCTGGTTAAACTGTCTGAACACATGCGGGTCCCTCTCCTCCGGCCGGAGCCGCCCGGGACGCGTCTTTGTGTTGTTGTTGTGTTATTGCTGTCCTAACCCTAACCCTAACCCTAACCCGGTCCGGTCCGGTCCTAACCCTAACCCTAACCCTAACCCGGTCCGGTCCGGTCCGGTCCGGTCCGGTCCGGTCCGGTCTGGTCCGGTCCGGTCCGGACCGGACCGGACCGGTCCACTCACCGCCACCACCACCGTGTCCTCTCCGTTGAACTTGGGGATGAATCTGTCTCCGCGGGTCCGCTCTGAGTCGTTCAGCGGCCGGAAGCGACACATCACCTTCACCCCGCACACCCCGCAGCCCGCCGCGTCCCCGCACCCCGCCTCCATCCCGCACACCGCAAAACACCACCGAACCGGATCAGCGGGTACCGGGTCCAAACCGAACCGGATCAGCGGGTACCGGGTCCAAACCGGCAGGACTCAGCGGGTTCCGGGTCCAGACCGATCCGGGTGCGGTTCCTGGAGGACTCAGTGGATCTGCAGCTCGGTGTGTCTCCGTGTGTTTCCGTTAGGATGCGGAGCCGCTCCCACCTCACACAGGTCCGCTCCGCCACGAGCCGCAAGGCATTCTGGGGCATGGAGTCCTGTCTCCGCGCTGAGCCAGTTTACAAACAGCGAGCCCACAGGGCCCAGCTCCTCTTCTCTTCCAGAACTCCGGGTTTCCTGCTTCAGTTAATAGTTTTCAGGTGTAAGTTCTGGGCTTGTTCTTCTCCTGGTTTCGTGCCCTGAGTGTTTTCCAGCCCTAACCCTAACCCTAACCCTAACCCCCCCCCCCCCCCTGCTCTTCTCTCTCTGTTCAGCCTTCTGCCTCTACAGGAGCTCTCTGGGTTCCTCACACTCTGTTGGGCTCTTTTGTCGCTGTTTGTGTTTCATTGGATTGATCTAGCTTTGGCTTTCTGACTCAGACAATTTTTAAAAAACACAAGTATTTTACAGCTCAGTAAAATTATTTCCTATTTAACTGGCATACAGTTGGACCCTTTGTCACTCCTGACATTTAGTTCATTTACTTGTATTTGAAAAATGTGCAGATGTGCCACATCCAATATGACAGATGTTTCAAGTCTTGCATATTTTATTTTTAACAATGTACATTCTAAATAGCTTGTTCATACAGTCCATTTATAAATGAATAATTCGCAGCAAATGAATACCCAAAGCACTTTTTACGTCTTCTAAAAGACATTTTCATCCCCGGTAATGATCAAATTCCATCAAATATTGTTTATGTAGGCCTAACAAAAATTTATTAAAAACTGAAACAAGCAAAAGTAACTAACTAACCATCATTGAATTCAGCAAACCCATTAAATATTAATTATAGAACCATGTAATCCCTGAAAAGTCGTAATTTTTTAATCATTACAATCATTAGGTGTCCAAAAATGAAATACTTTACTTTCTGGCATTTTGGTTGGGTTTAGGAAGCCATTTTAAAAAAACATGGCGATGTTTTCTGTTCTCTTTAACCACCTGTCTTAACATTCCTTGTATTTGATTGACAGCTTGGTGATTCTTTGGACACTCTAGTAATCCTGGCTGAGTCTCATGGAAGAGAGCATGAGCTTCCAAACAGATGTTACTCCAGGTGTGTGACCATTTGATCCCTTCAGTGGAAAAGTCTGGTTTTCTCGTGTGATGCATCACCACCAGGATGACCGGCTTGTCCCCTGTTGAAGACAGAAAATGACACACTCACAATATGGATTCCCTGCAGATACACCATCACAGTTAGCATCCAGCTAACAATAAGCTAGGTAGAAGGAACCACCTTTCAGACTCTGTAGGAGGAAACAGTGAAGACAGTGTGGAGACGGAGGGAAGAGGGGGGGTCAGGGTAATGCAAACTTTAAACAGTTTGAGCTGTAAAATGCCAGTTGATCATGTAAATCTAGACCGTACTGCGCAGCCGTTAGCCCCCTCACAGGCCATTGCTTCTGCCCTCCACTAATCCACTGGCCCTGCACAGTTCAGATCGGCACGCCTCTACACAGTTTTTAAATTCAAGGCCAAGCAGAAACAGACCGTCATTTATTTGGGACACGAGCAGAGACAACAATGAAGGACTTTGTGGCAACCATAAACTGTCTGCAACTGGGTGGTGGGCCGCCATGTTGGTTCATCTATGAGACATTTACAGAGCTTATGATCACAGAAAGGATTCAACCGGAGGTTTTCTGGTTGCTGTTGTCAGCTACAAATATCTTATGGAATCCGACAGGCAAATGGGGAGTAAGGGTAGGGAACCACATCAATAAGGAGGGAGTAAGGGTAG